TGCGCGCGGCCGCCCGTCTCTCCGCCGAGCGAGCGGGCGGGCGGCGATGGCGGCGGGAGTGGCGCCCGGCGGGGACGGCGGCGTCAGCTGCAGGGTGAGCGGCGGGCGGCGCTGCCCCGGCCTCGTCCGCGCGTCGGCGGCCTCCCGGGGCGGAAACGCCCGCGCCTGCTGTGGAATCCCGGTTTTAAGGCGAGGCGCGCCGGGCTGGGCTCGGGAGAGGCGGGGTCCCGTCCCCGGACGGCCGTCAGGTGCACCGGGGCCCTTGGGCCGGGCGAGGACTCGGGCCAGCCCACCCCGCGGGGGCGTCGTGAGCGGGGGGCGGCTTGGCGGCTTGGCTGGCTCCCTGCAGAGCAGGAAACGCTGGGCATGAACGGAATGGCATATTCATATTTGCTTGGGGACCGCTTAGGGCTTTTCAAAATCCTTATCGCCGTCAAAACGTTTCATGCAAATCAATCGATCAGCTCCAGGAATTGCAGCTTGGCGGTAGGATGGCGCGACGTGTGTGGGCAGGTTCCCGGTGACAGTATTGGGGAGTGTGGATTCCTATAGAGCAGAATCGGTTGAGCGCAAGTGTGTATCCGCCCCGCGTACAGAGCTTTTTCTTTCCCCCCACCCCAGTCTAGTTGTGGTCACCCTGCTGTGCTCATGGGGAGGACAAAAAGATGATGGCACCCCAGTAGTGCTTGTCGCCGGTTACGGGGGGCCAGAGCTCCATTTTAAGTTGCATTACTGGTGGGCATTGATAGGCCTGTCTTTCTTGAATGGGGAGCCGAAACCATCTTCCAGCCTCATGTCATCAAGATAATGGAGTAAAGTAACCTACTGCACACACACACACACACACACAATTTTGGCTTCATATAGTATTTTGCGCTCTCTCTCTCTCTCCCTCTCTCAGTTGGAGTTTGCTGTCCAGATGACTTGCCAGAATTGTGTGGATGCCGTTCGGACAGCTCTGGATGGAGTACCAGGTAACGGGAGCAGCAGGGGCTGTGCCAGACTTGTTTTGTCCCCTTCCCCCTGGGTAGCAAGATAGTATTTCCCTCTTCTCAGAAATGGCTGACCTACGTAAAAAGCATGTTATGCTTCTGGATCAGTCGTACACCTACATCTTTTCTCCATGTGTCTCTACTAACTGAGATCCCTGAGGCAGCTTGCAAAACGTTGAGGATGCTGTCCTGTGGCTTGTGCCCTTGCAGGTTGTAAGCCTGTGAGTCTGGATGCTTGTGAGCATCCAGGGCTGAGCAGGAGAAGTGGCAAACCTTCCTTTCCGTATTTCAGTGCAGTTTAACTGCAGTGCTTTGGAAGGGCAAGGAAAGAGGCAGGAGTCCTGCCAGGATGCATCCTCTCCAGGCAGGCCTGGTCTCCCTCCCCGCTCGCTCCCTTTACGCCCCCTCTTAAGGTCAAATTTCCACCCTCTTTCTGCACCGGCTGCTGCGATGGCAGACTGGGGATTGAAGCATGGATCCCCAATGCTATCTTGAAGCTCAGGTATGAGAATCCAAATTATCCTGTGCCCCCTCTAGATGCTGTCTAGGGCTGAGATTGCTCTCCTAGAATATAACACAGAGGGAAAAGGCGATGGTGTATATGAGGTTTTCCACAGCCATGAGGTGTTCCAGCTTGGCAAACTTCAGAATCTCAGCCATGGCCAGTCCAGTGATGTGGCGAAGCCAGGGCTTGTAAGGCTCTTCTAATTAGCAAGGACACCAACAGCTGCAACTTCTCCAGCATCCCCCTATCCTCTGAGCTTTGCAATCCCCACAGCATCTGGAGAGAAACACATTTTTCCAGAAACCCTGCATTGTTCCTTCTTTTAACACAATGCATTTCAGGGTGACTCGCTCTTGAAGGCACTTTACAGAAAATTTGCTTCTGGGGGAGAGGAGAAGCACCGGAACTAGTTTGTTGATATGGATCAGCATGGCTACTTGCAATTTTGAGCTCTCCTTGGGGCCATGGGTGGAACTGGCCTGCCAAGGGCCTGCAACACTTACCACTGGACAGATCTCGGAGCGAGTTGCTGCTGTACAGCAGGGTGTTAGTCACTCACAGTTTTCACTCTGAGTGGTGGAGGTGAGACGCACACGTGGGAACAAAAGTGCTTCTAACCCCCGCCCCCCAGGCCTCAACCTCCAGCTTCTCTGCTTCTAAATCTTTGGGTCACACCAGGTCTCAGGAGAGAGTAATCCCACCAGGAAGTGACTGTCGGGGAACCAAAATGTTTGTGCTTTGAAGTGTGGTGCTTATTTCCTAGGTTGTTGCTACTTATAAGGACTTCTTTGGCATCTACGCACAGAGTTATCCTGCATAAATTTACCTAATGTTTTAAAAAATGGTTTATGGTCATTGTAGTACTCTGTGGAAGGGAGTTATGGGTGCTGACAAGGACATTTCTCCTGTCCCCTTCAAAACTGCCTTCTGTGGGTGGCAAAAGAACTCTCTCTGCTCCCGATTGTTTACATTTTAGAATTGGGAGGGGAGGATCGCTAAATGGCTGGTGTGAGGAAGGGGGCTTGGCCTTGTGGAGCCAGCGCGGTGTGGTGGTTAAGGGTGCAGAACTGAGACTCAGAAGATCTGGAAGTTCTGGGCTCTAGTCTCCACTGAGCCATGGCACCAACTGGGTGATTTGGGGCCAGTCCCAGACTCTCAGCCCAACATCTCACAGGGATGTTCTTGTGAGGATAAGATGAAGAATTCTGTCAGCAGCCTTGAATTCCTTGAAAGGAAAAGGTGCAGCATATAAATATAAATAAACAAAATAACAAATATTCGCCCCAGAGGCCTGTGGTTTCCCACCTCAGGTTAGAGGAACCTTAAAACACGGAATCCAGGAATCGTTTCATGGGCGATCCTTAAAGTTCTTTGCTGATCATTTCATCAGTTGGAGTTGAAACGTGTCATTTACCGAGGAGCTCGCCACATTTTGAAACCTCTCCCGCCCATCTCCTTCCTTCCAGGCCTCCAGGTGCTTGATATCCAGTTGGATAACCAGAGTGTGCTGGTGGATACTACCCTCACCACCGAGAAGGTCCAAAACCTTTTGGAAAGCACAGGACGAGCAACTGTGCTGAAAGGGATGGGAAGTGCCGAGCCAGGTAAGTCCCGGCTGGATTCCCTCTGGCTCGCCCTTCCCCGCGCGTCATCCCCTTTCTGCGACGGGGGCCAGTCGGAAAGTTCTCACAACAGCAATCCTGTAACCGGCGGTTTTCTTGCAGGGCCTCTCGGCAGTGCGGCCGTGGCCATGGTGTCCGGCCGGGGATCGGTGCAGGGGGTGGTGCGGTTCTTGCAGGTCTCCCCGCAGAGATGCCTCGTGGACGGCACCGTCGATGGCCTGGCGCCAGGGCTTCACGGCCTGCATGTCCATGACTTTGGGGACATCAGCCGGGGCTGTGACAGGTGAGACACGGTGGCAGGCGTCTTCTGGGGCTTCTCCAGTCCTGGAGGAGATGGGCGACTGCCGCTGAGATTTGTGCTACTGCCTGTCCAAGTCCCTGCCTTTGTGTCTGTCCTGGATAGCTGCGGGGAGCACTTCAATCCGGACGGGGAGCGCCACGGAGGCCCAGGGGACGCTCAGAGGGTGAGTCCAGGCACGCTCATTACTGCACTATTCCAGTTAAGGCGTGGTGGGGAACCTCACTCAGCCTAAGGGCCAAATTCAACTTTGGGAACGTACGCAGGGGCCCCATCCCAGGGGTGGGTGGAGCCAAAGTCGGCGGGTGGAGTCAAGTGCACAAGGTGCGGGGCTAAATGTCGCATATTTTAATGGTAATTTATTATGTACTATTGTATTTCAATGTATTTTATCATGTTGTAAGCCGCCCCGAGGTTTCGGCAAGGGGCGGCATAGAAATGTTATAATAATAATAATAATAATAATAATAATAATAATAATAATAATAATAATATTGTAGCCGAAAGCTCCTGCTGCGAGTAGGCGAGCCGCAGAACAGAGGCATTCCAGCCTTTGGTTTTTGGGGACGTGGCCAAGTCATGGCTCTGGGCAGGTCGGACTGGGGCCTCGGACCAAGAGTGCCCCATCCGTGCTGTCGAGCGTCTTGTAGCCATCAGCGGAGGCCTCTCCGCACTCAGATCATGCAGTCTGGCGTCCTGTCTCTCTAGCATGCTGGGGACCTTGGAAATATCTTGGCCTCTGCGGACGGAAGAGCCTCCTTCCGGATGGAAGACAGCCGGCTGAAGGTGAGGCTTCCCAGAGCTAGAAGCTGCCCGACGAATGGCTGGATCAAAAGAACCCAGGCAGAGAATGGGAAATGGAGCATGAGCCAGCACCAAGCGTTCACCCCTTCCTTGGCCCCGCGATCTGTTCAGCAAGTGTCGCAATAGCCTGCTCAGTCTGCATCCAGTCCCATGCATCTCAGGCGTGCTGTCAGGATTTATTTATTGTTATTATTAAAACATTTTTATGCTGCCCCATTCGCCGAAGCCTCGGGGTGGCTCACAACATAGATTTGGTCTTCCTGCCCCGTTGGCCCCCGACCCATGGCTTCCGGAGCGCCCCTGCCCACAACCCCCCTTCCCAACATCGGCACGCTGCCTCTTCCGTCCCACATCTCTGTGTGAGGTTATCCCTGGTCCAAGACTCTTCCTGATGTTGCTCACAGAAGCCACCCTAGTTAGCGATGTTCCTGCTTTTCCGCTGTGATACATGGAGGGGTCAGTTTGCCCCTGAAGACTAGCAATGGCTGCCCTTCCCCAACCAGCACGGCTGGGGGCAGTCCCAGTCCATAGAGCTATCAAGACGGTGGTGTTCATGTTGCCGTCTTCCCCCGCAGGTCCATGAGATCATCGGGCGCTCCTTGGTGATAGATGCGGGAGAGGATGACCTGGGCCGCGGAAGCCACCCGCTCTCCAAGATCACTGGGAACTCAGGCGAGAGGTGAGAAACCAAACCCTGGAGGAGGCAGAGACATCTTCTGGTCCTGCCCTGAGCAGCGAATTGGACTCGGAGGCCCCTTCCCACTCGACCGTTCCGTGCGGGCTGTCCCGGGACACAACACACACGCTTCAGCTTGGGCAAAATTGCTGCCCTCCCCTGAGGCCCTCGCATCCGCCCTTCTGAGGCCGTTGGACTCCATTTCCCAGCAACCAAAGCCAGGACTGCTAAAATGGCAAGGGATGTTGGGAGTTGCCATCCAACACACCTTTCGGGAGCACAAGCTGCTTATCCCTGGAAGGTGCAAAACTTTGCTGCCAAAAGGACTTCAGGTTGCACTGCCGCCAGGCTCCAGTCTAGGTGCCGATGCGTAAAACCTTTTGTGGCCTGGGTCCCCCAAGAATCGCAGGCCGCCTGTTCTTCTGACAGCCTCCCTCTCAGCTTCACCCACCCCATTCGGCCTTGTTTTATGGCCCTTCCCCGAATGAAGTGAGAACGGTCAAGGCAAGAAGCGGGGTTTCCTCTAATGGTCCTCAAACTGTGGAATGCCCTCGTCTGTCCAGATGTGCCAGGAAGCTAGTTTTGCAGAGCTTCAGCTGTTGGATGGTAGAGAAATTAATAAATACGACACATCTTTTCCTTTTGGGTTTTGGGTCGATCAGATAGCCTGCAGATGACGTTTCTCTGCTTGCGTCTAAGCCTCGATCTCGGTGCTGCTGGGCAGCAAACGATTGACAGTCGCGGCTTTTCCTTCCCTCCCCTTGCTTTCACAGAGTGGCGTGTGGCATCATCGCCCGATCTGCTGGCCTCTTCCAAAACCCCAAGAAAATCTGTACCTGTGACGGAGTGACGCTGTGGGAAGAACGGGAGTGCCCTTCGGCTGCCAGGCGAGGCCAGAGGGCCACCAGCCTACCCACCCCACACCTCTAGGATCTGTGGTTCGGCCGGCACTCTTGTTAGGCTACGGCCGCGAAGGATTCTCCCTGCGGCAAGGAGGGAGATGGCAACGAGACGCTTCATGCCAGGAGAACATAATATGGGCCTCCTGAAATTGCATGGATAAGGCAAGGGACAGAAGAAACGGGCACGGGGGCTGTGGGCGGGCGGGCCTTGCTTTGTTTAGAAACATTCCAAATCCAAATCAAAACAAGCTTTCCCTTTGGGTGGTGGTAAAACAGAGAGCTGCATTCCCACTTCTGCATCCCTTTTATAGCTCATCTTAGGCTTTTTGAGCTCTGTTTCCTGCCTGTTTTCCCTGACTGAGGCTCTGTGCTTCCAAGAGTTGCCTAGCAGGCAGAAGTTCAACAGATGCAACTATAACCACCCAGTGATGGAAGCTCAACCTGTTGAGTGTCTGCATATCTCAAACACACGTCCTCTTATCTGGATTTTTGAAAATCCCCCCTGTGTGGGTGCAAAATCTGTTGTTTTCGTGATAATCATAATTTCTTGGTGGGTTTTTACATAAAAAAGTTGAGTTCCACCCTAGGATGTCTTTTAAGTGTGTATTTACCAAGTGCCTTAAGTCTGAGAAGTTCTGTCTTGGTTTTTCCATTTCGGGCAGTTTGGCTTGGAAGAGCCTTCAAGTCTTGCTCCCTGCACTGATAGAATCTTTCCCTGTGACTGCATATTTCATAAAAACAAGCTAGCTGGACATTGGCAACCGCACATTAACAAGGAAAATAAGGGACTACTCTTTACAATGCGTGGAAGGTGGGGTACTGAGTCCACTTGATAGTTAGGAGTATAGAAGCACCGGAGAAGTACTTTATTCTGAATTAGTGGATCATGTTGCTTATGTGACTGGCTTTTCAAGGCAGGGTGTTTCTCTGCCTTAACGTGTGCATTTTGGATACTCTAAATGTAATCCTCTGCGTTCTTCAAACAAGCATTAAATTGTACATCTTGCCGGCTACCCAGTCTTGCTTCCTTTGCTTTGGCCCTTACTTGAGTGTCTGGGCTGGGAGGAATCTTTTGTGGATTTTGTGAAACTATCGTGATTGTTCCCGATAGCCCGGGTTGGCACAAAGGTTTTGTTGGCACTTTGAGCCAAAAGTCACCAGGACTGCATGCAAATCAAATTAGAATGCAGCATCTGTAATTGAGTGCAAGATTTGGACTGAAATGGGAAGCATCTAAGAAAATAATTTAGTATGGGTAAGAACAATGCTTCTGACAGACAAGAGGTTGGTATCAAAATGATTTAGAGAACTCAGATCTGCTGATTTTTCAAATCTTTTAGGAGCCATGTGGATGACCCATCTTCATAAAATACCCTGAAGGGAAAGGAAGTCTGTTTGCTGCTAGGTTTTTGAGGGGCTTTTGGAGAGGCAGTAGGAACACTTATTGCCCAGTGCCAGGTGAATCCTACTTTTTCCCCATCTCCATGGCAGTCTGCTGGCAACTTTCACTTCTGTACCAGGAGGAAAAGAGAGGCAGTGAGGTGTAGTGGTTAAGAGAATGGGATTTGGACTCAAGCGAGCCAGGTTCTAGTCCCCGCTCAGCCATGGAGCCAACTGGGTGACTGGACCAGGCAGAGAGACACAGCCCAGCCCGCCTCACAGGGTTGTTGTTGGGATCAGATTGAGAGCAGGCGGAGGAGAATGTGTAAGGCACGAGCCCATGTTGTTACTATATTAGATTACATTCTGCCTTTTTTCCCCCTCCAAGGAACCCAGGGTAATGAATGTCGTTCTCCTCTCCATTTTATTCCCACAACATCCTTGCGAGGCAGGGTAGAAACGAAGTCAGGGACTGGCCCGGGGTAAGCTGGTGAGCTTCGTGGCCGAGAGTCCAGAGCTAGGTCCCGGTCCCGGTCCCGTCCTCTAACCACTGCACTATACTGCCGCTCCGGAGCCGCGTTCGGTCGCGGCGAGGGAGCCCTGCGCCGCTCTGCGCCTTTTCGGCGCTCTGTGGCGCGGAGCCCTCCCGCGGGAGAGGGGCGGGGCCCGCGCCGCGGCGCGCGCAGGCGAGCGAGCGCGCGTGCGCAGAGGGCGGCGGGGCCGCGCGCGCGCGCGCGCCGCGTGACCTCATTTCCGCCGAGCGAACGCCAGCGCTGCCGCCGCCATTTTGCGCGCCAGCTCGCCCCTTTCTTCCCGCTTCGCCGTCGCGGCCCCGCTCGAGCGTGAGGGCGAGCCGATGCACCCGGGGGTGAAGGTGTTCGTGGGCAACGTGCCCGAGGAGACGTCGCAGGTGGAGCTGCGCGACCTGTTCGAGGCGGCCGAGCCGGGCGCGGTGCTGAAAGTGGCCCTCATGAAGCAGTTCGCCTTCGTCCACATGCGCGACGAAGCGGCGGCCGACCGCGCCATCGGCAAGCTCAACGGGCACCTGCTGCACGGGCACCGCGTCGTCGTCGAGCACTCGCGCCCCAGGCCCACCCACACCGTCAAGATCTTCGTGGGCAACGTCTCGGCCGCCTGCACCAGCGGCGAGCTCCGCGTCCTCTTCCAGGAGTTCGGCTCCGTCGTCGAGTGCGACATCGTGAAAGGTACCGGCGGCGCCGGCGGCGGAGGGGGAGGGCGGAGCGCCGCCTTCGGGCGTGTGCAGAGCGCCCCGGGGATGGGCGCGCCCCTGGGCGTGTGCAGAGCGCGCCCCGCGGAGGTCTAGCGAAGGAGGTGGGGAAAGCCTCCGCTGCCCCGGGAAGGCCCGCGTGCCAGGTCTCCCCTTCCCGCTCCTGTTTCCCTCGGTGCTCTTACGTGGCCCGTCCGCCTCCGAGCGTGGAGACTCCGCTCCCGTTTAACGTTGCGAGTTTAGCGCCTTTAATGGATGTCGAGCCCTACTCGCCAGCCGATAACGGTTGCTAGAGAGGTTTTACCAAGATCAGTTGTGCTGAAAGAGCCTCTGTTCTTAGGCTAACATACGCGTCTCTTAGAGAAGCCAGAGGAGGAGGGGAAGAACTGCGTTTGGGTACAAAGTTCAGCGGGTCGCAGAGGTGGATCTAAACAGCATAACGGCTGTGGTCTCTCTTGTCAGTACTAGTTCGCAGGTGGCGGGAGGGGAGCGCTTTCGAGCATGAGGAATGCCTAACTTAACTGTTTTTTGTTTAAAGCATTTTTATCCTGTTCGTCAGCCGAAAAGGCTTCCAGACCAGCTTGTGTGCAGTCAATAAAAACAAGGATGTTCCTGCTTCTAGGCTTACAAGACATGGCGTGGCACGGCACAAAGTTAAATAAGTTTGGGGAGGGAAGAGGGGGGAAAGTAAGTGGACTTCCAAATAGTTGTTAGGTCTGGTCTTTGTGAGTCGTCCTGTTTTTGTAAGAGCACAAAAATGCTTTCCATGAGGAGAGAAAAGGCCCTTTAGGCATGTGCAGAGTGCACCTTCCATGTTGAGCCACTGCAAGAACTACCCTGCAGGGGCAGAAGGAGGCTTTCCCTCGAGCAGAGGGTGGCCGGGCTGCTCTGCCCCACCCCAGCACCAGAGCATTGAAAGGAATAGCTGCTGGTCGCTTCATGTACATAGAGGAGGAATTCCTGCTCCAAGACAGGCCTGCCTCCCGCAGCACACCAACTCTGCAGTGGCCCAGCTCTCTGCACTCTGTGCTGGTGGCGCCAGAGACTGGTTGAATCGGTAGCGATCAAAAGTGTTGGGTCCTGTCTCTGATATACCCGTTGTTGGCGCAAAAGGTTTGCAGTGGTAGAGAACTTGCCATCTTCCTGCTTGGGTCCACCTTCAGGGAATACTATCCTCTTCCTCTATGTCAGGGTCAGTGATGCAGGGCTGAAAAGTTGCTGTAACTTCTGTCAAGGGGCACGTCTGTGTCTGCAGGAATCTTCTGCCAAATGCGAATTTGAGGATTCCTCCTGTAGCGCCGTTGTCTGTTCTCTTGGCCAAGCAGTGGAATAATGTAAAGCTCTGGTGCACTCCCACCACCACTGCAGTGAAGACCTGCCTTTCCCAAACATGACCTGCCAGTGGCTAATCTCTGTTAGTCGGTTCTGTAGCAAAAGGCTGTAACTGAATAAGACTTTTGCAAAGTCATAGGACCCTCTAAATGATCCTTAATTTACAGATACTTACTCCAGTTTCCTGGTTAAGAGAACATTTCAGCTTTGATCCCAAAGTTACCGGTTCGCTGCATGGGCACAGCGCTCTCCATCACCCTTCTCTCATTGCGCTGGGTGATGTTTATGAAACAGATGGTCTGGTCTCTGACACCCCCTAGTCTTAGTGTAGTTGTGCGATAGTATATAATGGAATCAGCTGCCTAGAGAGGTGGTGGGCTCTCTCACACTAAAGACATTCAAAAAGAAACTGGACAGCCATCTGGCCTTCGTCCAGCTACCCAGTGAGTCAGCTGTGTTCCCATGTAAGAATATAGATTGCTTTGGTTGGTCAGACCAGCAGTCCATTGTTATACAGACATACTCATAAGCCAGGAGTCTTCATTTTGCTTGGCTTTTTGCAGAGAAGCAACATGTTGGTAAATGTATTCTGTTCGCTTCTTTGTCACATGAGCAGGTAAAAGGAGCCAGGAAATAATGTCTGAACCCACATTTATGGGTTACTTCTCCTAAGCAAATCAGGACAGTATGTCCATTTTTAGCTAGGGTTTACCAAGAAAGGAGCAAAGTGTAAACAAACAGACTGTGTGGATGGTCACATGGTGGTTTAACAGGGTAGAATTTCTGGCTTTGGTTAAGTGCAAGCTTGATGATGGTGACCTCTGCACAGGCAGAAAAAAGTCTACCCTTCATTTTCCTTGTTTTATAAGGTAGGTATATATCTACATCTTTGCCACCGTTGTATATGATCAGTTGTTCCCCTTCACCTGGGATGTTTGGGGCAGCACATCCATTTGTTCAGCTCCCCTCTTTTCCTCCCGAAGAGTTTGTTAGGCCCAGACTGCAATGGGCAGGGAATGACTTGCAGCCATCTTCTAAACTAAGTCAGTTGCTTAGTCACCAGAGCTGTAAGAAAGCTGACCACCAATCCGCTGTCATGGGTCCAACCCGTTCTCAAGCATGTGCGTAAGCGTCCTTTAAGTGATACAGATTTGGAACTGTCCAGTCCGTCACTGAACCCAGGGGCCGTGGGGTTCTCTCTCAGCTACCCGGCAAAGTGTGTGTTGTGCAGCTCTCCTCCGCATTAAGCACAGGCTGTCTGAATGTCCATCTTTCAGCCACTTGTTGTCTGACGCACAGACTTCACTTCCTTTCTGCCCGTCAGGAGAAAATTACACTTGAACGGAACGGAGAGCGGGAGTTGCTAGAACACATTCCCACGTTGGTGCAGGACAGCTTTGCCATACAGCGCCTAGTCTGTTCGCCAGACTCCCCTGGAGCAAAATGTGACTTCCATTTTGGAAAGCAATTGCTAAAACGGACAGGAATGAAATGAAGCCCAGCGGAATTCAGTGTTGTTCACACAGCCACCCAGCCAAAGGGGGATGACTTGTGGGCTCTTTGCTGTTGGCTTAAGGAAGAACATTTAATGTGGGCAAAGCAGTTTAAATTTGGCAGGTACCAGTGGGAAGAAGGCGTTACTAGCAGGGGAATCTAGAGATGAATACTGCATAGTATTCACAGCCTGATCTTCTCTGAAGACGTACTGACCAAAACATTCCTTCTTTTCCTTGAAAGAATTGGCAGAATCATCAAATGGTACTGTTTGCAATTGCCAGTTGAATAGTCTTTCCACCAAGTCAGTTTTTCCCTGAGGCTGGTAAGCAACTTCTGAAAGAGGCTGGAATTCTATGGCCCCGAAGTGGACACCCAGTCCCTCTCCCTGGCTCTCCCCTGTCCCGTAGGCTCGGATGTTAACCGCCTCGGAGCAGTTGAAAAATGCTCTTGCGCCTTCTTCTGCATGTGTTTTATAGCCACTGGCTTGAAAGACTTGTGTGCTCTCCGGTCACTGAAGGAAATTGCAGTTGCTTGAGCACTCGAGGCTGAGGTGGGCAGGCATCCCCTGCAGAGCTTTCCCGAGTCTGCCGTGAAACTCCAGGACCCGGCGTGGCACCGTGCCGTACAGAGCCGTGGACTGTGCAGGCAGCCGCCTCTGTGCCTCCAGTCCTGTCTTGGAGGGGAGGGGAGGGAGGCTTTGTCAGGCTTGCACGGCTGCCTTTCCAGTGAACGGCGTAACCAAGCCTTCGAGCTTTTTTATACGCACCTTCTGACTGCCTCTTTGCGGTGTACAATCCAAAGCAATGGTCTGACTTGTCCCAAGGCAGCCGAATCCGTCCTGAACCATAACGTTTGTCCACTCGTGCCTCGTGTAGGCGGGGGCGCTGAGAAGTAAGGTAAACTTGGGAAGCTTCAGTCGAGCCCTTAGGCACCTGTGGCCTACAATTCCCTGATCATTGGCCATGCTCGTCGGGACTGGGGGGAGTGGATCCCAACAGCATCACCAGTTCCCTTCTCCAGTTCTACAGGGTAGCAGAAGCCTAGCCATATAGGTCATGATGCTTGTGCTTGGACACTGGACAGAAGCATGAGCTTCTACACCTCAGGAGTCGCTGCTGCTGCTGCTCTCTCTCCTGCCCCCGCCTTCATCATTAGATCATGCTGGTTTGTTAGCAGTACATCCGACTGCCATCCCTTGTTTTCTTTTTTGAGTTAAGCTACCCAGTGCCTCTGAACACTCCCTGAGCTCTGATCCTGGTAATTGTTGCCTCTTTTTGTTTACACTTAACAGTCCATGCTTGACCCAATTTAAACATAATAAATAAACTCAGAACAGTGGGGAATCACAGTGGGAAAACTCTGGCTGGTGTTTTGTTGGGCACCCCATTGTGTGCAAGAAGAGGCCCTGTTTTATACTGCAGAAAGAATGAGTGGCTTATTCATTCAGCAGTTAACCCTTTTATTCCATTGAAAATATGCAACCGCATAATACTTTTTGAAATTGCACTGAAGCGGCCATTGCAGATCAGAGAATATGCCCCCGGTTTGGCAGCTGCTTGTCTAAAAATGGGGGGGGGGGGTTACAAGTAGCACTGTGACCACTAAGGTGCTTCGCTTTTGGTCTTGTTGGGCTGGAATCAGAGCAAAGCTTGAATGTGTCAGAAGTTGTGACCACATGTGCCTGCGGTTCCAGTACACTTTTATCCTGTTAGGCCTCTTAATTTGACTCCAGTAGGTGAATAGTCTTGGTACCCAAAGGTTCTTGCCCTATATCTGCTCTGAAATGCAAGTCTGGTGTTCTGCTATATGGCATAGAGTCTGAAAAGTTGCTGGCATGTACTTCATGCTGGTGGGCTTACAGAATAAAAAGCTCCCCTCAGCCCTTTTCTACTTCTTGTGGTAACTTGAAATTCACCTTGGCTAAAGTAGTGATAAACTTGAGCCACAGCCTCTCCAGAAGAGACTAAAGTGTTTCTAAAACAATGCCACAAGTATGTTTGCAAAAATGTGTACAGCCTGGCAGTGTGGGAGGCCTTTTCCATATGCTTGGGCGAAGCATTAATATCCCCACGTGGAAGAGCTGTGTTAGCAGTGTTCTCATCTTGAGACAAGCTTTCTTAGGAGGGATCTGTTGAAGTAGAGAGATGAAGAGGTGCAGAGCCGGTGTGGAACATCGCGGTTCTCCCTGGGATTCATTCTGAGAGGACTGGGGAGCAGGGTAGGAAGCCCAACACTCAGCCCTCCGACCAAGTAGGGCTGGGGGCACCTCGTGCTGCGTGGAATGCCCATGACTGTTCCTTTGTGGTGGCTGCTACAGTTGTAGAACTGTAACATCTTGAGTAACGGGCGGAACAGAGATTACTAAAATAAAATGAAGAAATAACCCTGCTCCGGCCTGCACGTTCCTGCCACCAGATAGCGCACGTGTTGCAGGTTCGGCCTTCCTTGGTATCCGGGCCAGATCCAAGTAGGCAAGCGTTCCAGTAATGAAATGTCATGTGTGTTCGCTATTGATAACCTTCTGTCTGCTGCTTTATCAGACTATGCATTCGTTCACATGGAGAAGGACGAGGATGCTAGAGCCGCCATTGAACATCTTAATGGAAGGGAAGTCAAAGGCAAAAGAATTAATGTCGAACTCTCGAATAAAGCTCATAAGAGGGGGCCCGCTGGGCTCGGGGGCCCGCTGGCTGGTGGCGCCGAAAAGAACAAAATCCCAACTGTAGAAAACCTCCAGGCCAGGAGCGATGGCTTGCGATCTGGTAATCTTGCTTTCCCGATGGCGGCTTCGGCTTATTCTTCACTCGAATATGACTATCAGCAGCGCTTGGGCAACAACAATCTAAACAAATTCGACACGCAGGACAGTCAGGCCAGGCAAATATCCCCCTCTTATTTCGGAAGGGATAGGAGCCCCCTTAGACGCTCACCCTCCAGAGCAGGCTACATGCTTCCTGCGACAACCCAGCAAGCCACCTACAGAGACCAGACTTCAGCCTCCTTGGGAACAGCGTACAGAGACCAGCCTTCAGCCTCCCTGGGAATGGCCTATAGGCCCCAGCCCACAACCGGTCAGGCAGCAATGTACAGGGCCCAGCCCTCCACCCTGCTCGGAAACACATACAGGGCCCAGTCGTCCGTGTCCATGGGGACTTCGGGTACCCAGCCGGCAGCCGCCGCGCTGACCACCTACACTGCCCAGGCAGCGACCTACGAGGCTCAGGCAGCCGCTTCCCAGGTCCCCACTTACGAGGCCCAGCCCACCACCACATACGCTGCCACTTACGGGGCGCAGGCCGCTGCGACGTACGCAGCTTCTTACGGAGCGCAGGCTGCCGCACTCTCGGCATCGTACGGGGCCCAGCCTGCAGCCAGCCAGTCGGCCATGTACGGCACACACGCGCTCTCCACCCAGTCCGCCTCGTACGGAGTCCAGCCGGCGGTCGGCCACGCAGCTGCCTACGGGGCACAGGCCTCCTCTGCTCTGTCCGCCGCCTACGGGGCGCAGTCTGCGGCAAACCTGGCGGCCGCTTACGGCATGCAGGACGCTGCCACAGCCGCGTCCTACAAAACGCAGCTTTCCACTCCCATGACCAACACCTACCGAGCCCCAGCCGAGGCCGCCTATGCGGCACAGCAGTCCGCGTCGGTTCCCCTAGCGGCAGGTTACCGAGCTCAGCCGGCGTACAACGGGCTGACTCAGCCCACCCAGCAGGCAGCCTCCTACTCGGGAATGACGCAGTCGGACGCTGCCGCCCTCCACCCGCCGTACGAACGCACTCGCCTCTCCCCACCACGTGGCAGCCGTGAGGACCTCTACCGAAAGGCAGCTGTGATGAATAAGAGGTATGCAGCTAACCCAGCGGTAATGCTTTTCAGCTGAAGCGCGCCTGCCGCCTGTGGATTTCTGCGCGCTTCCAGAGCGACCTGATGGAGCGTGCGCTGCGGGGCCCGGGAGGTGACAGGGCTTCGAGCGAGTGCTCTGGGTGGCATTCGACCGGAAGCGAGTGTGGGTCGGGAATGGGGCTTGCTCATGTTTTGTTCCACTGGCTGTGCCGCTAGTTTTTCTTTTCCTGAATCCAGCTGGTCCTTCAGCCTTTTTCTGTGCTTTTTTCTTTGTGAGATGGGAAGCAAATACAGACTGCACTTCACCATTTATCCTGTCTGCTTATTTCTCTGGATAATCGCGAGTACAGATCTGTTTAATGTGTGTTAGGCGGGACTCCCTGGCAGAGCCTTATGCAAGAGGATGTGTGGAAGGATTCCTGTACACTGGCCAGGTGTATGAGTGCTCCCGAAAAAATTGAATAGGAAATTTTTCAAGGGTTACTTAGGTTAATTTGCACAGAGTCGATTTACATAGGAAAATTCTTAATCCAACTCACATTAATTTCCCTAAGATCATTTTATGTGTAAAGAGAAAAATGCTCCTCTTTGTTGGTTTGTACCAGAAATACTTGGCCTGAAATATTTCAGGAGGAAAATTAAAGCACATAATATGATTTAAATGGTATATTATGTAGAGTTTTTCACTGGAATGCTTGCAGACATTTAAAGACAATTCAGCATACTTCCCTTACATTATTTCAATTTAAGGAAAAAACAGAAGAGACCAAAAACTGCTGGTGCACTGGTTATTTTGAACAGCCCAAGTAGCTCTGCATGGGGCACCTTTGGTTTCACTGTTGCTATATATTAATTTCATTTCACTCTGTTACATACACATATGCTACAGATAATCATCTGAAAAAACATCAGTTACAGATTTGAAACTGGCCGGCTTGCCTCATACTGCATTTGAAATTTGCGTTAACTCAGTTAATACTGAATGTAACAAAACTAAGAGTTAAGCACTCATCTTTTCCCCCGGTCGTCTACATCACTCATATTGGCATTACTGCCTGGTTAGATTCTGCCACACAGCATAGAAGTAGGTTTTCTTTAGCTTTTTTGGGTGACATTAGAAATGAGATGCACCAGCCTTTGCTCCAAGTAATGACTGTGCAACACTGTGCTGAGCACCAGTTCCTCCCGCTCCAAGGGACCCCGTAGCGTTTACAGCCGACTCGAGTTATGGGAAGCCTGCCCTGCACAGAGCACTTCACACTTCAGCCCCCAGCCTGAACATCAAGACGGCTGTGTTGAATCGGAGCGCATTGTTTGGCTCTAGAAGTGGGGAAGTCGGACATGAGCTCCGGAGCAAATTCTCCACTGCATTCGGCTCGCCAGGCGACGGCAGGGCGCTGCTTGTGCTTGCAGTTGAGGGATTTGGCTCGCACACCTGTGCATTTGCCTTCAGGGCTCCCAGCCACTCGGAAGGTGGCCTCTGAGGCCCGGTCCTCATTTCACAGAGCTGTTCTTCACAAACTTTGAAGCAAGGCTCGAGGTTCTGTTTAAAGGTTCAGCAAGTACTGGGGGGGCAGATTTTACCTGCTAGGACAGGTAAAATCGCCACAGTTCTTGCAAACAGGGTGATGGAAATGGACCCTTGGACTCCTCTGGTAGCCCCCGTTCTCTGCTTAGGTTGCAGCGCCCCCTTCTGTGCGGGGTGGGGGAGGCCGTCTCCATCTTAGAGTATGTATGATGTGGGGCATCACCATACGCTTTTTTATTTATCAAATGTCTCTTCTTTCAACCAGGTACAATTCTGACCTCTCAGATGACCGCCGTTTATCTGACCTCTCAGATTTACGCCGTTTAGCAGACTCCCCCCATGCGTACCGCCATTCGCCAACAAAGGGTCAACTGGATTATCGCCGACTCCCTGAAATGCAATCCGATTATGCCCGTTACGCGGGTGCCTATGGCGATTATTTCCGTAGCACACAGCTGCAGATGCATGCTAATTACCAGCGCCGTTTATAGAGGATTTTCCCCCGTCTCTCCTGGGGTGGGGCTGCGTCATCGTCCCGGCGCCCGCCGTTCAAATGCATTTAGCGAAACCACAAGCTGCCGCGCCCCTTAACGAGCAGTCTTTGCCTTTTAATTTCAGAACATCCTTTTAGTTGCTCCATTTCTTTCCAGCCTTTGTCACGGGTGCCCTCAGCAGCACCTCTGTCTCGCTTCAGCTGGCCTTCCGTACTCTAAGTCAAGCGTGTGTTGTTCCTTTAGTGAGCCATACTTGGCCATCCAAGGCAAACCGTTTTCCAGGAAAGTCAACTGGGTTGCCAGAGTAGGGCTCTGCTTGGCCTCAGGAGTGCTGTAAATCTCGGCATACTCAACCGTTTAAAACCAAAGTCCCGGGGTGAGGGTGGCCACACGGTGAACGGCGTTGCGTCTGGTTCCTTGGTCTTGCCTTGCTCCAGGTCCTGCCAGTGCGAAATAAAACTTGTCTTGCATTGAAATCCTCATTTCAAAGTCCTGATTGAAAGGATCTTTTGGTATCTTTTCTAAGTCAGTTCACTTGCTTTTATGTAACAGCATCTTTTGCTGATTTCTTCTTTGTGACTTGCCGGTATAGCGTGTGCAAGTAAACCTGATGCTAGAAGTGAGTTCGGGTTGTTTTCTGTTTTTGTTTGGGGCTTTCCTTCTCTTTTTGTATCAACTAAATAAAATGCGGGGACTGACATTTTAGAAACTCAAGCTGTCCGGTGGTTTTGGGTGTGGGGGGGTGCGCGCGTGTTACATCTCCGGTTTTGCACATACGCAAGTGCGCCCTTTCCAGCCGGGGTCCTTCCAGATGTTTCAGCTTACAGCTGCCATCATTACTGACCATTGGCCATGCAAGCTATGGCTGATGGGGGCTGAAGTCCAAAATACTTGGAGGGACCTGGGAGTCACTCTCAGAACCATCAGGAGCATCTCTGCTGACATGGACTCGAGGTGGGTGAGTGCAGTGGAGAATTCAGGTCACAATATTGGGGATTCTGAAGACCTAGTCTTCCAGTACTGCATGCAAGATTCACAGGCCCTGGACCACCCTCCAGCCCAAGGGAACTGGAGGGGTCTTTCCCCAGCGCTCTTCCATTCCTGCAGTGCTGAAGACTGGGTCCTTCCGTTGTAAGTTGCAACCGCCTTTGCAGACGAGTCACGGCCCCGTTGGGAATCCCTCCCGGCGTCAGAATCTCCAGATAGGGAGGGGCAGCAGAACCTCTGATGGGGCTCACATGGCAGGAGGCCATAAGAAGGGTGACGATTCTTCACTGGAGACCGGAGGGGCAGAAGGGAAGAGGGAAGGCGGAGGAGGCCGAGGCCCGTGTCGGCGGGAGCAGTCGCTGCTCCTGTTCATTCCGTGCAGCTGCAGGAACAGCAGCAGCAACTGAAATGGGTTCATAGGGCTGAAAAGCCACGTACAAACCCAGAAAGCCCGGTCAGCTGGAAAGGATGGCTGCACACTAGCTTGATGCAGGATAGACGTTTACCTGTTTTTCCTAGTAGTTAGATAATCGATCGTTCTGTCGCTTTTCATAGGATTATGTTTCTGGGAAACTGATTAAAATGTGGAAACTTGTGCTCCTTTATCTGTCCCTTGTTTCTAAGGAAGCGACTTCTTGGGCAAATCCGTCTTCGAGTTAGATGGTCCGCTGCCTTGGTTTCCACCTAACCGAGCAGAATTGCC